TTCCATTGTTAATAAAGTTTTGTAACTATATTCACTTTTTTAAAACTAACATTCAGTTAGTAACCAAAGGACAGTTACATCACATAACTACGTGAAAAAAGCTTTTTAATTCATTTTATTGACCTGCAGCCGTATTCTCATCTCTCTGTTAAGCTTAACGGAACTTTTGTCTGAAATTTCATTACAATATTTCTAAGTGAAGAAATGACAAAAACTTTATTTAAATTTTTTAATATAAAACTAATACTAAAATAAAACATTTATTTTTAAAAAATTATATTTTTAAAGAACTTTTTTTATTAATGTAGTTAAAAAAAAATTTTCTACTAACGCTCCGTTAAGCTTAACGGAGAGACGAGAATACATCTGCTGAAAAAAAAAATGAAATAGCTAAAATGAACTCAAAATTGTTTATAAACTTTTTTTTTTATTTAAAACATTTTTTTTATTTAAAACATTTTTTTATTTAAAAAAAATGTTTTTTATTTAAAAATACCTTGCAAATTGATATAGATAACTTAGTAGATTGGTCATATAAATGGAATATGCCTCTCAATTTCAATAAATGTAAAGTTATGCACGTTGGGCGTAGTAACTACAAATCTGTTCAAAATTATTCGATGCTTGACTTGAGTGGAAACGAAATTCAACTGGACATCACTAAGCACAAACATGATCTGAGAATAATTCTATCAGACAATCTTAAGGTATGCTATCAAGTTGAATCAGCAGCAGCAAGAGCCAACAGTAAACTTGGTAGACTAAAGAAAATATTTAGGAGTTGTGGACTCTTTTTGTGGAAAGTACTCTACAAAACCTATATTAGACCCCAATTAGAATTTGCTATCCAGGCTTAGTCACCAAACAAGGAAAAAGACATTGCTGTTCTAGAGCAAGTTCAGCATAAAGCCACAAAAACAATAATGGAAATGAAGCATTTGCAATATAAAGATAGATTCCGTCATCTCGACTTAGCCACACTTAAAAAAAGGAGAGTTTGGAGAGGAAAGGAGAGTTGAGGTGATCTCATTTAACAATTTAAATTTTCAAAAGGTATTGATCAAATCATTTTTGAGAACCCTCAAATCTACAAACCATCGATTTCTAAATACAATTTGTGTGGGCATTACCTTAGACTTGAACCTAAAAAATTGTGATGAAAGATTCAATTATTTCACTAATTGCATCGTCAATGGATGGAATGCGCTACCTACAGATGCCAAAAGTACTGAATCAGTTAACTCGTTTAAAGATAGTGTTGAAAAATTGAAACTCAATATAGAAGAATGATCGCACACACTATTGTCTTTTCCTTCAGCATCGAAGTGCCTGGTGTTGCACTTTCTCATCAAAATATATACATGTGATGTATGTATATATTTTTGATTTCTGAAATATATAAACTCAAACTCATTTAAAAGCATTTAAAACCAAAAGTTATTTTTAATAAAAAAAACAAAAGAAAAGTTTAAAGATAAATAATTTTTGGGCACTTTTTTCAGACGCCCATACCACTTTAGCAGTACTCAGCTCAGGTCTGGGTTTGTCCCCGGAAGTTTAAAAGTGAAATTTTCAAGAAACTAAAACACTTTCTTGTCTGAATGACTAAAAGAGTTTTTTAAAGTTGTTTTTGCTTTTGTGGAAAAATTGTTATTGATTTGATAACTTTTATAAATATTGATGAAAAATCACTCAGGAACAGTCACTAGTTATTTAAAGTTGTTTTTGTTTATTAATCCTAATGAATGAGTTCAAAAGGTTTCTAATTCTTTTGTTAACTCTAAAAAATCTAATTCTAAATTACAGGTATAAAAAATCCTCCATGATAATTGCTCAGTAACGTAAGAGGTATAACATAGATGCTATAACATAGATACTATACATTTATCAAAAAGTTAAATGTATAGTATCAAAATAACAAGTTTATTTTCCTTGGTTAGGTGGCCATCTTTAATTTAATTGGCCATCTTTAAGTCAATTTTTTTTAAAAAATGTAAGTATTATAGAATTAACAACATCTTGTGAAAACTTTTAATTTAAATTGCATTACCCATTCATAGAAATCCGACCTAAAATTCTAAACAATTGTTTTAATTTGTTTTGTGCATAACATGGTTTTTGGTAATTATTTGCTCTCTTTTTGCTAAAAAAAATTATTGCCTGTGTTACGTAAGTTAAAAATGGTAATGCCTATATATATATTTTTCCTATAGTAAAGGCCTTAAGTTTATTGTTTGTGATGTAAAACAAATTAAATGACTCTTTTTTTAAAAAATTACAAAATCAAGTACACTTTATGTAAAAACCAATAAATTTAATTGAGTAAACTAATAAAATTGTATCATTTTTAAATAATCACAAAAAAGCAACTTAATAGACTGGAATGTTTTCTATTTTTTAAAAGTAACATGCAAGGAGTGCTGCTTTATTGACTAAGAAATTGGTAGAGCATGCAAGGAAGCTACATTGACTGACAAATAGGGAGAACATGCAGACCTTGTTAAGAAATATTATGCAGCTTGCATTCCATGTATGAAATGGCGATTTGCGTACATGTTCAGCAGTTTTTTATTTTATTAGCAAAAATTTTTTTTTATTAATATTATAATTTTTTTTTATAAAAATTATAATTTTTATTTTATTAAGCAAAAATTTTTTATTTAGGAATATTAAAATTATTTTTAATATTGTTTATGTGACATTTATTATTATTATTAAGTCGTAAAAAAAGGCAATTAACTGCAATTGTGAATTTCTTTGTATTAATAAAAGTTCACAATTGCAGTTAATTGCCTTTGTTACAAAAAAATTTTATTTTAACGGGTGGTTACTAAAAATCCGTACAAACTTAAACTGAATTTTAAATGCCACAAGCTAAATCTTTTTTATTCATGTTTATATCCATTTTATAGCTTATTTAATTCTCTATAAGTTAATTTTTTTTTTTTAGATAATTAATAATAATTAAAAAAATAATGATGACCAAGCAAGAAGAGGTAAGAAAACGGATTTACGAGTTCTATTTGAATAATAAATTGCAAGGTAAAAAGTTCACAGTAGCTCACTTCAACGCTGAAAAAATCCCAAGAAGCACTATCTATGATATAATCAAACGTGTTGAGAATGATTCTGGGCACAAAAGAGTGCAAGGAAGTGGTCTTCTGGCCAAAATCATGACCCCTAAGAGGATCAAGCGCCTGAAATCATATTTGATCACAGTGACCGAGTTTCGATGAGGCAAGCTGGTCGAAAATTTGGATGCAGTCATTCACATATCATTAAAACTCTTGCCAAGAACACTGACATCAAAAGTTATACAAAACAGGGTATACCTCATCGACAAGAGAACCAGAATGAGCAAATCAAAACTGGCATTGATCGTCTTTATCGCGTTTTTAAAGGAAAATCGGTCATCCTTGACGATGAGTCTTCATAATTATATATGCATGTCACACTTCACGCTGTCACACTCAACAATTAATGGAAACAGCACCTACTACTCTAGCAACAGAGACAAGACTCCACCAAGTGTTAAATATTGCATAAAGCGCAAGTTCAAACCCAAGGTGCTTGTCTGGCTGGCCGCTTCTGACAAAGGTGTTTCAAAACCATTTATATAAAGCCATCTATGAAATGAATTGTATTAGGAAAAGATTAGTGCCGTTCATCAACGCTTATCATGCCGATGGTAATTACATATTTTGGCCGGACCTGGCTTCATCGCATTATACCAAAACCGTGACCAGCTGTAACAGACTCATAACATCAATTTTATCAAAAAAGTTGACAATCTGCCAGCCGTACCGGAGTGTCGCCCAATCAAAGACTTTTGGGCTATTTTGAAAGGCAAAGTGTATGAGAGTAACTGGCAAGCAAAAGATGTGAAACAACTACGAACCAGAATAAAGCTTTGCCTGAAAAAAATTGACCTTAACCTTGTATTTTCACTTTTTGGGTCAATTCGTGTTAGAGTTGGCCGAATCCGAAGAAACAGACTGGTTGAAGACAAACTTAATTAAAATAAATAACTAAAAACTCTTTTTAATGATAGTTTTATTTAATCTCTACCATAGAAACTTTGGGAGTAATTGCACTTGAAAGTTTGTCCGGATTTTTAGTAACCATCCGTTAAATAAAAGACTTTTTAATTAAATATGATTTTAAAAATTAAAAATTTAAATTAAGTTTTGAAGGAATGTAAAATAGTTATTAAGTCATAGAATATAAAATTTAGTAAAATTTAGGAATGTAAAATAGTAATATTTATAAAGAAGAAATTTCTTTTTATCTGCTCTCTCCATCATAGATTAAAATATGTGAAAGCAAATAGAATTTATCTTTTTTTGAATTTTATTTATGAAAATAAGTTATATTTACAAACTATCTTATTTGTCTGACATCCAAGGAGGCCTGCTACACCAACTGACATATCAAATATTTTATATACTATATACAACCCTCGGAAATAGGCCTAACTGCCAACCTTAAAATATCTGAAGTCGGCTAAAAATCTCCATCCTCGTTTTTATGCTTTATGGTGTCTTTGGTGTCAAATTTTTTTTGCTGACCTTATACCGACCTCTAACAGTTTAAGGTTGGCAATTTGTTGCCAACCTCATTTTTCCTATTTCCGAGTGTTGTATATATTAGACCAGTTATTAAAAATATTAGGGACCCATTTAAAATTAAAGTTAATTGAGCTATCCCTAAAACACATTATTTAAGCTTGCAATTTTTGAAATAATTTTCCTGACTACAAACCACGTCAAATCAAAGTGCAGCCCATATAAAATTGCAATTTTTTTTTATATATGATTTTGAACTGATTTCATATTAATTTTAAAGCTATTTTCTTTATATCATTTTTGCAAAAAATTTTGTTATAAATTTTAAAATAACATAAAAAATATATTTCAAATAAAGTTGTAGAAGAAAATTATAATTATCTTCAATATTATTAAACAAAAAAAAATTAATATATTATAAATATTTTTTCACAGATTTTAACACTGTTTTAAGTGAGTGGATTAAAAAATCTCTTGAAGATCCAGCAACTTGGTAAATTTTTTTACTTATATTTTTTTATCAAAGCTTGTTATTTTGAATTTAAATTTTAAATTATATTCAATTAGAATTTTATTTATAAGACGTTAAGTTTTATTGATTTTATAATATTCATATTATATATACTTATTCTAAATTGGTAATTAAATTTCAATAAATTATAAAAAATGTATATTAAGTTCTCTTTTGTACTTATGTTTTTTTGATTTGATTTTAGTGAAACTATAATTTACTTATCAAATGTAATTCAAAATTTTTTTATTTTATCATTTTACATATTTATTTCTGCAACAGCAAAGAAACTATTGTTGAGGTTGGTGTTGCATCATTGAAGCATTTCTTACAAGCTAATTGGACTGGTCCTAAAGAATTTACATTTAATAATGAGGAATTTAATGAAGTCATTCTTTCTCAGGTAATAAATTTAATTTTTAAGTTCTTACAATTTATCAGTTTTGTTTCTTGCTGTCCAAACGAACATTTGACTACAAGCTCCATAAAACAATTTATATTGTAAACAAGCACTTTGTTGCTTTGTATTTTATTTTATAATACAAAGTTTTACTTTTTAATTTTAACTTAAGTTCTTGTTGGTTAGAATAAAATACACTGAAAATGAAATTGAAAAAATTTTAAATAACTTCAGATGAATAATGATCTTTATTCATCAGCCATCAAATTTATTTTTTTATATGCATACATATTTAGCTGCGTTGAAAAAACAGAAAGTAAGGTCAAAAATATAATTTTAAAAGGAGTTGATCTTTACAAGTACTCTGATTGTTAGGACAACGAAAGGGTTAAAATTTCATAATATTTTGAAAAGAAGATCCCTTTTTTGGGAAAAGATTACTACATCTGTCCAACAACATCCGTGGAGTAGTGAAATAACATCCGCACATTTTTGTGTAAGATCAAAAATTTGGATGTAGTTACATCCGAAAAATCTACAGATGTAGCTGCATGGATGTTATTATACATCAATGAAATTTGGTATGTTATTGCACGGATGTTATTATACATCATTGAAATTTGGGATGTTGTTGCACGGATGTTATTATACATCGATGAAATTTTTGATGTTGTTTCACTGATATTATTCATGACAAAAACGGATGTTATTGCCCTGACCCCTTTTTTTTATTTACAATGATCAATTAAGTTTCTATAATTTTTTTAATAGCAGAAATATTTCTTAAAAATATTTAAAGAATATAACAGTAATTAATAAACATTAAAGCAATGTTTTTTTTTATGTGAAAATTAAAAAGAACACTTGCCTTTATTTAGTTATGAGAAGTACTAAAGTTTGTTTATAAAAATTAAAACAGTTTTTCTTTAGATTTTCTCTTCGTGAAATTCTTCTTCTATACTTACCCAGAGGAACAGATCATTGTGTTCTTTTTTTAACTTGCTCTTTTATAAACAGTGGTCTAAAACCACGTAAACAATTTAATATTAGTTTGAGCTTGATTTAAAGATAACAATGATTGGTTTAAATGAGTTACTTTTAAAGATAATAAGGATCGATTTAAATCTTTGCTATTATCATGCAATAGTTTAATTTGCAGTTTTATAGTTTTTAGTTAGTTTTAAAATATTTTTTTTTTGTTAAAATCTTTTTTCAAAAAATAAAACATAAAAGTTATTGTTTTTATTTTTTAAAGAACTATTATTAATCTTTTTTTAAAAAATCAAAAAAATGTCTTTTGTTATGTTTTTTTTGGATATAACAGGCCTTGTTATGAAATTTTGTTGCATAACCGTAAAGCGTAATGCAAATAAATGTAACTTTACATCACTAAAAGTTTAAAGTACCTCATTGTAATTAAATTTAAAACCACATTAAAAATTACTCTAATAAAAGTCTTTATCATTATGAAATTTTGAATAATAAATATATGTTTAAATTAAACAATATTGTTATATAAAAAAATATAAATAAAATTTAAATTTTGTTTAAAAAAAAAAAGACATTTCCTTATTTTAAAATCTTATACTTATTAAAAATTATTTATTATTATTTAAATTATTTATCTTCTTTAAAACATTTGTTTTATGGTTATTTTATTTTAATGAGGGAACACTTGTTTATGGTTGAATTTCTTAAAGGGATTTTACTGCAGATTTTTAAAAGATAAAAACAACTATACAGTTAGATTCAGTTTTCCTTTTTATAAAAGAGCGTTTGTGCTACCTAAAACAGTTTAGTTTAATTGGCTTTTGATAAACTAAAAATTGTAATTAAACAAAGAATACCACTTTTCTGCTTTGATTTTTTTTTTATTTCCATTAAAATATTTTGTTTTCATTTACCTTGAAACCTAATGTATTTTCACTATTTCTTACTAAATCCGAAAAAATCCTCTTCACTCTATCACCTTTTTCTTTGTTCTTTATCGTTCTCCTTCTTCCCATGATTGCACTCTTTTAGATGTTATCTCTGATCAAATTGACCATGCCCTCTCTCTTTACCCCTCTGCCAATATTGTTGTTGTTGGTGATTTTAATGCCCATCACACTGAATGGCTTGGCTCTAACACCACTGATCCTGCTGGCACTAAAGCCTTTAACTTCTGCGTTTCTCAATCTCTTACTCAGATAGTTAACTTTGTGACTCGTTTTCCTGACAACCCTAATCATTTACCTTCACTCCTTGACTTATGTCTTGTCTCTGACCCTAGCTTATGTTCAGTTTCTCCCTTTTCTCCCTTAGGTGGTTCTGACCATGCAATGATCTCTATAAATCTTTCTTCTCGTACTTCTTTTTTGGGCTCACCTTATCATCGCACCACCTACTACTACCCTAAAGCTGACTGGGACTCCCTTCGTGATTTTCTTCGTGATGGTCCTTGGGCTGATGTTTTTTCTCTCTCAGCTGACAAATGCGCCTCCTACGTAACCTCCTGGATTCAGGCTGGAATGGAAGCTTTTATTCCTTCTTGTCAGTTTCAAGTCAAGCCTCATTCTACTCCATGGTTTTCTCCTTCTTGTGCGGCTGCTATATCCAATCTTAATCATTTTTTTCATCTTTTTCAAAAGAACAACTCTCTTGACAACAAACGGCTATTTATTATTGCAAGAAATCGATGTAAAAAGGTTCTTTCTGATGCTAAACTCAATTATTCTCAGTTCACTAAATCTCGCATCTTATCGCAGAAGTTAGGCTCTGAAGACTTTTGGAAAATCTTCAACAGCATTGTTAACAAGGGTAGATCTAGCATTCCATCTCTCATTCATGGGACTGATCTTATTACCTCTCCCAAGGATAAGGCAGAACTATTTGCAAAGAACTTTTCTTTTAATTCCACTCTTGAATCTTATGGACATTCTCTTCCTTCCATTCCAGTCAAACAGGTTGACCCATTGTTTGACATTCAAATCACTCCGGCTTCTGTTGCTAAAGTCATATCTCAATTAAACTTGTCTACAGCTTGTGGTCCAGACAACATTCCTGTCACAGTCTTGCAGAATTGTTCTCCAGAACTTTCTTCAATTCTCTCTAAACTATTTAACAAGTGTTTGACTGAGTCTTGTTTTCCTGCTTGTTGGAAAATGGCATCTGTGGTTCCAATATTCAAAAACTCTGGAGAAAATTCTGACCCCTCCAATTATCGTCCGATCAGTCTTCTTTCTGTTATTAGCAAGATCTTTGAGTCTTTGATCAACAAATTCCACACATATCATCTTGAGTCAAATAAACTGCTGTCAGACAATCAATACGGTTTTCGATCCTCTCGCTCTACGGCCGACTTGCTAACTGCTGTAACTGATAGATTTTATCGTGCATTAGATGGAGGTGGTGAGGCTAGGGCTATTGCTCTCGACATATCTTAAGCTTTCGACAAAGTTTGGCATGCTGGTCTTCTCCATAAGCTTGCTTTATACGGTGTTTCTGGGGAAATTTTTAAGATTATCAAATCATTTCTTTCTAACCGGTTTATTAAAGTCATCCTTGAAGTCCAACACTCTTCTTTATTTCCAGTAACTTCTGGGGTTTCCCAAGGTTCCATCCTGGGCCCTGTTTTGTTTCTTATCTACATAAACGATCTTCCTGACAACCTTTCTAAATCTAAACCTTTCATTCTCGTTTTACTCGTCATTCAGCTAAGTCTCATTCGTTTTCTGTATCTGTCCCTGCATGCTCAAAAAACTTTTATTCATCTAGTTTTTTTCCCCGCACTTCAATCCTTTGGAACTCTCTCCCATCTTCATGTTTTCCTGACTCATACAACCTTCAACTTTTCAAGTCTTCTGTCAACCGTTTCCTTGCTCTATAACTCTGTTCTTTTTTTTTTCCTTGTAACTCCCAACTTAATAGTGGTTGCTTGCAGCCTTGTTGGGAGTGAATGCAAATAAAAAAAAATTAAAAAAAAAAAAGAGTATTTTTTGGCATTAATTAGACCAATTTTTTTTATAACATAGAGCCAGAACTTTAAAAAAAAAAAATGGCATTGAAGTTTATTAAGTTATTCACTTAATGGTCAAAAAATAAAAACTATTATTATTTTTTTTAACAATTTGGCTTTAACCAAATCCTTGCATACAACTCATAAACTAGTTAATTGTTTTTAATCGACATTTAGTTGATGATCAATTCAAAAAATTAATGACAAAGAAAAAACTTTTAAAGATGATAAAAGAATTTTAAATTATGAAATGTAAAATAAAGTTATATGTAAAGTAAACATTTAAAAGTAACTTGAATTGAATTTATTAAATTTATTTTTTACTTTAACATAGTTTGAAGTTTTAGCAGTAAAATAAAATTGTAAAACCAAAGTAATGATAGTAAACTAAAGTACTTTAAAACTAAAGTAATGATAAAGTAATAAACCAAATGAATAAATAATGTAAAACGTTTTGAAATATTTTAAAGAATTTTAATTAAATTTAATAAAATAAATTTTATATTTAATTATATATAATAATTAATTTAATTTAAATTTAATAAAATAAATTAAGAATAATTTAAAAAAAAAAAAAAATGGGAAAAAGTTTAATTATCTATTTGTTTTTTATCTAATAAAAAAAATATTCTTCAAATGTTTTTTACAACAATTAATTACAGCTTAAAGTTTTCTGCATAAACTGTTTTGAAAGACTGTTTAAATAAACTAATTGAAAAAAGTTTTTGTGTAACGTAAGTGGCGAAGTGCGTACATGAAATCGTGAATACGAACAGAAAATTCAAATAGTGTAACATTTTTTAACAAGGTCTGATATAGTAATCATTTTTTATATTTTGTGTTTTTTTTTTTCATTTGTTAAGAGTTGATGGGGGTTGTATTTAGGCAGAGTGTTGGGTTGTGTAGTGAGGTGATGCTTGATGTTCGGTAGTATCAAGTACTACAAAGGGAGGTTTTGATTGTATAAAGATAGGATAAGTGTGGGTTTGGAGACAAAAAAGGAAGTAGTTAAGGTATATTTAAAAAGATCTTTAAATAGATTGTTATTGTTAGTAAGGAAAATGTTATATGGTGTTAAGAATAAAGTTGTATAGTGTTAAAAAAATAATTAGGTTGCATGGTGTGATTACATTCTTATAGTTTCCTTTTACTCCTATTGTCTCATGCTAATATATTATGTGGTAGTAGTAGAGTGCTCGCCTAACACATCTATACCGCATTCAACTTGTTTCTTTGTGTAGCGACCTTGTTGGTCAAGGTTCCTATTTTGGAGTTATAGAGTTGAGAGAGGGTTGTAACCATAAAAAAAGCATAGTTAAATCTAATGGCTATACTCTTTCTGCCAAAAAAATTAAAATTCTCTTCAATTTTCTCTTAACTATATATAAGTGCTAAATAAGTGGTTCCAATTTTGAAAACTCTAGATACAGACGGTAACCCTGAAGGAGACCTAAGACCTTGAATCAAGTCCTATTAAATTTTTATTTTGTTTTTGAAAGTAGTACATTTGTGCATCCTGAAACTATCAAAATTTAAATCATTTGTTGGTTGCTTTTTGATAAAACTTAGTAAGAAGTTTTATAAATAACAATGTTTTAGTATTAAAATAATATTTTTCGGTCAGCCATTATAGTTATTTACTTTCTGTAATTGCAGCAAGACGATTGACTATAATAATATTTATTAGTTTCCTATTGGCTTGTAATTGTTATTGCTTAAAAGACTTTAACAATATTTATAAACACATTTTAGCAATAAAAGCAACTCTGTTTAATTATTTAAGTAAAAAACTTATATTAGCTGAAATTTAAGAGCCAATTAAAAAATACAGGAACTATTTCTCAAGAATAGAAACGCCATTCTTTGCTAAAGATCATAACGAGTTTTGAAAATACTTTTGTATATGCTGTACAAAAAAGTAATGATTTAAGATGCATTCAAACCAAATGCAATATACCAAGGAATAACCAAGGAAAAATTATAAAAATGTTATCAAGAGATTTTTTTTGGGAAAACTACTCTGTTTGAAAAATTTAACCCTGATCTGCCTAAAATGTTATGTTCTAATTGCAGAAAAAATCTGAAAACAGAAAAAAGTGAAAACAGATTCAAAAAGATTTTTATTCACCGCTTGACTTAAGTACGAAGGTAAATTTTATAAAAAAATAAGCTAATAAAAACCAATTATGTTTTTCATTATTATTGTTTTGCTTATAAACAATATTTTGTTTGCACTAAAAAAATAACTTCTTATTACTTTCAGGTGTTAATACTAGAGTTATTTGAGGTGGGAAATGTGAGCATTCGTGTTAATGGGCATAAAAATAGTACTGAAATAGCAACTCTTCCACCAATGGTATTATTTGAAACTAATACAGATATAGATCATAGTCACAGCAATTTGAATCTTTCCACAACCAATGAAAATCTTGTTTTATGTAGAAGTTGTTTTCAACAAATAGGAAAAAGTATTAAACATCATTGCACAAAGCTAAACACCTATTGTACAATTTACCTGTAATGAAAGGAAAGGTTTTATCAACCACAATCAACAATTTAGTAATTCATGATGCAAAAATAAAATTAAAAACTTTTGGCCCTAAGAAGCTTGTTGAACCGAAACACTTTACTTTTCACACTCAAAACTGAAACAACTACAGAGCAAACTTCCTACAAGGTATAGATTGTCTACTGCAAAATTCAAAAAATATAAATTATTAAAAAAAAAAACATTTTTTTTAACATTGTATCAAATTTACTAGTGGCAATAAGATGTTAGAAATTGCAAAATTTATTTGAGTGAATGGAGGAAAAAAATCTGTTGAGTAAAAAGTTAACAGAAGAAAAAAAAAATTTATTGTCTTGGTTTGATGATGAGCTTATGCTGATTCAGTCTAAACAGGATATTTAGATAATAAAAAAGTGGTACAATTAAATATGTATGTGTATATATATATGTATATGTATATATATATATATATATATATATATATATATATATATATATATATATATATATATATATATATATATATATATATATATATATATATATATATATATATATATATATATATATATATATATATATATATATATATATATATATATATATATATATATATATATATATATATATATATATATATAGTGTTTTAGCTTTAACTAGAGATTTTAGCTTCACTAAAATGCTCTATTAAAGTAATATATTATGAAATATTAAAGTAATATATTATGAAATATTATTTTATGCTACATTATAGTTTTATGTTGTGATTAATTTGAATATTGATAATTTAAAATGAATCATCATCATCAGACTTAGTGATTTTGTTATTATTTAGTGTATTAAAAGAACTATTTCTGGTGTAATATACAATAATGTTCATGAGTTTGTTGCAACAGTTTTACAGTATAGGTTTCTTGAACCAGAGAATGTTGATTTACAATAATGTTCATGAGTTTGTTGCAACAGTTTTACAGTATAGATTTCTTGAACCAGAGAATGTTGATTTTAAGGTTAGGGCAGATAGAGTGCAAGGCTATCTAAAGGTTACCTTATCAATTTCATTAAAGCTAGAGAGCTAGAAGCACATTCAAGTGAAAAGAAAAGAGTGAAATACTCTGATGAGCATTAAATATTTCAAGTATACTAGTGTTCACAAAACATTATCATTGGCAGTATTACCTTCTATTGATAAAATGCAAACATAAAATTGTTGTTGGATAAATTAAAACTTAATTCTCTAGATTACTCTATTTCAGAAGATTGTTGGAAAGCAGTCAGCAGCTTCGAAGCATTCTTGTCCATTTTGTGAAACAGAATCACCAAATATGCTGAGAGCTAAGTCCATATTCTCTAACTTCTCTGAGTTAAGTGGTACAGCAAATGGATGGCTGTTAATTACATTAACTTTTAGTTGAAATAAATTTTATAGCTTAGTTTTTTTAAAAAGCTACCAAAAATTTCATGAATATGATATAAGGTCTTAGGTCATCTTCAGGGTATCCGTGTACACTTACCTCTCTAACTATTTTCCAAATAGTCTTCTAACTATTATTAGTTTTTTTACATAAAGTTTTTGAGATTTTTAAATCATTTTTTTTTAACTGCAGTATTAAATAAGTCATTCTCAAAGGCCTCCACTCTTATTCCAGTCAGCTTAAGGGTACAGCAAGGTTCTATCTTTGCTCCTGTATTGTTTTTTTATCTACAATAACAGTCATTCTGACAATTTTACATCTAAAGTATTTGCTGACAACACAACTTTATGCTCTTGTTTTTTCAAAAAAAGTCTTTACTTTTTGAAGCTCAGAGCAAGTATCTGATCTCTCTTCTGCAACGGCTTGGGGCTTGTGGATTTTAACTCAAACAAAATTCAGTTATTTACTGCAAACAACTATCACAATATTGTTGACATTTCTATATTGACAGATAACAACCATTTCACTCTCAGACAAGGTCTAAAAGCACATTGTAAATAGAGTTGAACAAACTTTATCTGCCTAATTTGAGTCTCTCCCATTGTCCAAAAATTGTATCTCTTTTTCCTACTTATACTATCATGGTTTCTGCTCAAACAAGCTATTATCTCTAGTTGCATCAACCATAACTCGTTTTTTCTTGGCTGGTCATTTAGGAAAGTTACATCCTTTTTCTATATTTGTTCCTTTATGCTATAAAAATTTTTATTTATTTACTTTTTTTTCTTAAATTAACAAAACCTCAAAACTCTCACCCATCTTTCCTTACTCATACAACCAACAACTTTTTAAGTCTTCAGTAAACCATTTCTTTGTTCTTTAACCCTTTGTTTTCTAGTAATTTTTACATTCAGAGTGGTTACTTGTAACCTTGGAAAAGAATTTAGAAAAAATATATATATAAATGCTAGTAGTTAATAAATGCTAGTACTTAATAAATAACAAATGTATGCATAAATTTATAATATATAAAGTGTTATAAATTTTTTCCTAGCCCCAGCTATTAACCCTGCTAAATCTTAGAATTTTGCCAGGTTGGGGTTGTAAAAAATTGCTGTGGTATAAAACACTTTAACAAAACATTCTAAAAGCTTCAGAAGAATCTTTTAAAAAGCTTCAGAAGAATCTTTTAAAAAGCTTCAGAAGAATCTTTTAAAAAGTTTCAGAAGAATCTTTTAAAAAGCTTCAGAAGAATCTTTTAAAAAGTTTCAGAAGAATCTTTTAAAAAGCTTCAGAAGAATCTTTTAAAAAGCTTCAGAAGAATCTTTTAAAAATTTTCAGAGGAATCTTTTAAAAAGCTTCAGAAGACTTTTCAAAAGAAAAAAAAATTAATATCTAAAATTACAATTTTTGTTGATTGTATAGGAGATATCTTCATGTGCAATACTTGCATTGGAAAAAGATGGGGATGATCTGTATCAGCTTTTATTTCATCCAATTTTATTGCAAATTGCAAAAATCATTTTACTGGATTTGAGGTTATTCTTTTCAGATCAGGTGCTTATTTGGTCAGTGAAATGTCTTTCAACAATTTTAGAAGTAGTTCAAGAAGTCAATGACCAACATTTAAAAATATTAAATGAACTCTATGCAGCTGGTATGCTTAGTTTGTTATATAGTTATGTTTTTATGGTTTTTTTATGGTTTATTTTTATGGTATTTTTTATGGTTTTAATTATATTAAATTCTTATTCTCAGATTTTAATTGTTTATGTTTTAATTATTTTTGATTAATTATGGTTTTAATTAATATTGTTTTCTTATTTATTACGCTTTAATTTTACCTAATTATGTTTAGGTTTTAACTATGTTTAGTTAATTATACTAAGGTTTTAATTATACTAAGGTTATTTTTATACTATATATTAATATATTTATTATACTATATATATTAATATATTTATTATACTAAGGTTTTAATTATAAATAATTATTTATAGTTAGGTCTTTGTCTCTTGATAACATAAGTTGTTATGTGTTTTACTATATATTTAAATATTAGTTTTTTATTATAATTTTGGTATAAAAAACAATTTTAAGACGTAGAAACCTACTAAAGTAAATGAAAGTATAAGAAAGTAACTTCTATTGTTGGATGTAAGTGCCAACTAAAATCTTGAATAATGTTTCATAATAAGATGTTTCGGTTTCGCATAATTTGTTATCAGCTTTATCTCTGATGTTTTATTATTTAGTCTCAAATTATGTGATTAGCTGATTGTTAATCCACTTGTCTGATAAAAAGTTTGTTAAAAATAAACTTTTTAGATTTTTGTCTAACAATATTTTTATCAAATCTTTCTTGGGAAAAAAGTTTATTTTAATATCAGTAAAAATCTAATTCAATTTCAAAAAAAAAAGGTAAAGTTGGTTAAGGTATAAAAATTGTTTAAAGGGATCCCAAACTCCCAACACATGTTGTGTTCATATTAAAGATAATGTTAAAAAAAAAGGTTTGAACCAAATTTTCTTGATTAAAAATAAATAATGAATGCATACCATGAAAAACAAATGTTGTTGTTTTTGCCGAAGGTCGTCTTCTTCATTTTTTTCAACTACTCGGAGTCTTCAAATTATGTGTCGCAATCTACAGACTTTGGCAATTCCTTTGAAGCGGGTTTAATTCATAAAAGTTTTAGTATTTGACGTCACGGTAGACTTTTAACAAAAGAAACTCTGGAAATATTTTTATTTATTTTTAGTCGAAGTTTTTTTGGTTATTTGTTTAGTTTTTTTTTTTTTCTACTTTTAATATTTAAAAAGATATTAAAAACCTTAAATATTTTATGCTGGTTCGTTGCTATAAATTGTTATTGCGCCATATATTTAATGTTTATAAATTATGAATATTTATCTTCAAATTTTTATCTCAAAAATTGTTTTACATTAATTACCTGTATAAAATTAAAAATATTCTAAGTAAAAAATATTTATCTCAAAAATTGTTTTACATTAATTACCCGTATAAAAAAAGCAACAGCTTTTTTATTTGGTTAGACGATAATCCGTTTCAATTTGCTTTGCATGAAATTCGGAAAGTCAAACGAAAAAAATAAGTTTGAATAATGACGGGGGATCTAAAGTTTTTTATAACAAATGTAGGTAAAAAAAAAAATAACTAAATAAAAAGTTCAGTATTAAACACCATTTCTTTATTATATTGCAACTGTAAATATTGAATTATTAACTTGAACTAAATTTACTTATTATTTAGAACGACTAAGCAATAAAAATAAAATGCCCCTAAAATTATGTGAGATTGTGTTGTTTATTTGATAACTGTTGTTGGTAATGTTGTTTATGTTGATTATTTTCATAAATATCAAAATAGTTCTAGATTAATCTGTTCGTTGCTTTGCTCATTGTTGATTTATTTCTAATTTAATTTTATCTCAAACTATAATTATATATTTTAAAAAAGAAAAGTTTTTATTTCATCGGGCACTCTTTTTATAAAAAAGTAGAACAAAAGAGAAAGAAAAGTTTCGCGTAATTAAACTTTGAGTGAATAAGAGTTGTATAGAATATATATATTTTTTGCATCACTCGTTCTTTTTTTAGATGAGAGAAATAAAAGTTTAATAGTAAATTTTCTTTGAATAAATGAGAATTGGAAGAGAAAATTGCTTGAAAATTTGTATTTGTTAATTGTGTTTTTAAAATTTTTTAATTTTTTATGTTAAGAGACAAATGCCAATTACGACACAAATTTGGAAATACCAAATATAATGTTTTTTAATGCGCGTTATGACATTTTCACAATTTAAATTACCATCTATCTTGAATTATTGCCTTTAATTAATGTGTTAATTATTGCGTTATTTAATAATAGTTTGTCCGTATTTTTGTTAAATATTAGTTGTATAAAACGGGCGAAAATATACAAACTTCATGTTTTTTATTTGATGGTTATAAAATAATGAACAGTAAACTTATAATCAAAATTTATAATGCCGACTTGTGTTGCAATTAGTTGTACTTTTAATGCAAAATCAGGATCTCACATATCCTTTCACGAATTTTCATCTGATACTACTGTCAACTATATTGTTTAGTGTATTCTTGTACTTTTTTTTCATAATCTTAACAGGTTCTAATTGGTATGGAGTTGCTGACATTTTAAAAATTTCATTATTAAAAATCAAATGTAAAATAAAATGGTATTTCCTTTTTATCCGTATCCAATTCAGCAAATTTAACAATTTAAATAAAATCAGCGTGATCAAAAAAATTTTATAATAAAAAAAGTTAACAATTCATTAGATATCTCTAATTAATACTGTCAGTTTATGAAAGTAATTGTTAATAAATACTTTTTTTTTAACGGGAAAACAAAAAATTGTCATAGCGTAAAAATAACCAGAGAAGTTAGAAAATAGTTCCCATTGTTTAAATAAAAATAATTAAGAATCAGAATATATAATACTGTGCTCTTTTGCGCAAAAACAAGAGAAGTTATATAAAACGTTTTATATAATGTAAAATACTTGTATGAAAATCATGAGATTGGTAAGTAAAGCTTTAATATTTGTTTTAATTTAAATAATTAAAGAAATATAAGTTAGATATATAAATCTAAAAATTATTAAGATATCTGTAAAAAATAAGTTGCTCCTATAAAATAAAAATAATTTATTGTTTTTACTTCTTACAAATTTTTTTTTTGCGATGTATGGAAAAATAATACAAATAAATTTGTTTTGCTGTATGTTAAAAAAATACTACAGTAGAAAAACGCAGCTTAGTTTAATTACACTTTTCTTTTGTTAAAAGTCTACCGTGACGTCAAATACTAAAACTTTTATGAATTAAACGCGCTTCAAAGGAATTGCTAAAGTCTGTAGATTGCGACGCATAATTTGAAGACTCCGAGTAGTTGAAAAAAATGGAGAAGACGAGCTTCGGCAAAAAAAACAACATTTGTTTTTCATGGTATGCATTCATTATTTATTTTAATCAAAAAAATTTGGTTCAAACCTTTTTTTTTAACATTATCTTTAATATGAACACAACATGTGTTGGGAGTTTGGGATCCCTTTAAAATCTCAAAAAGATCATTCCACTTAAAAAAGTGCAAAAAGCACTTGCACGTGCTGGCTCTACTCTAACTAACACAATCAACTTTTGATTGTGTTTGATTGATTTACAACACAAACCAGGAAGTAAAAGTATGTTGTAGGATAATTTCAAGGGGTCTTAGTGGTCCATATTTTATTTACAGTTGAGCCAATGGTGTGAGAAACTGGTTTGACCATAAGTTTCCTTTTGCAGATAAAGTCCAATTAAGTGACTGACATATTTATAAAACCTATCTCTTCCAGACTACTTTCCATGGGCCATTTAGGGAACATTGTATTTGAGTGAAAGCTTTCTGTCTTCCTAGTATACAATATTCCTCCCTTGTACACAATGTTCCTTAAATGGCCTAAATCCAATCACTAAAACTTTGTGATTGGATTCATCAAGCAATGTAGGGATATAAACACAACAATAAGCAAAAAATTAAAATTTAGTAGTTGGTTTGCAAAATATAGTAGTTGGTCTGAAATCTTGTCATAAGTTGAATAGGCAAAAGCTATTTAAATATCTAATTTTTTTATGGTTATGACTAAAAACTATTTTGCAAAATTTTGTATCTCCTGTGGTGGTAAATGATGAACTTTAGCAACCTAATTATTTAAAAATTATAATAAGAGCTGGTTTTAAAAAAAAATTCCTGCACCTTGGTAAAATAAGATATCTAATTGCATAGTGGGTGTCTTATTTTATCAAAAACATTTTACTCCCTAAATTATATCATGTTGGACCTCAGAAGAAATGAAATTTTATAGAGATTTCATAAAAACAATCTTTTTTTGAAAAAAAAAAAGATTATTATATGTTTTGATTATACTTTGTTTTATTTTATGATATGTTCTGTATTTTAATTTACTTTTGTACAAGTTTTCTCTTTTATGATATGTTTTATATTATAATTTGTTCATTAAAACTAAATTAATTCTAAATTATCTGTATTATATTCAATTATAAATTTTTACAATTAGGGTAGAGCGGGGCTAGATAAGCAATTTTTACTAAATCTAGCAGATCTCACAAACAGTGCATCAGATTTACAAATATTTTTCAATAATTGAAAGATAATTTAATCTGCTAAAAAATCATTATTTTAAAAATTTTAGAATTATAAATTCTAAAATTTTTACTCAACTATTATTTATAATTTAAAAAATTTTATTATGACTTGTTCTTTGTTTTTTGTTTCGTTTTTTTTCATTATTTTGTAATTGATTTTGATTTCTTTTTAAATCTTTTTTTTTGTAGTGGATTGTGATGGGAGTTCATTTTACTTGCAAGCCAAGTAATTTATTTTTTATTTATTTATGAATTTATAAATAAAAGAGACAAATAAAAGTTCATTGTTTTATTTTAGAGAGGTTCAAGCAGAATTCTTTCTCGATGTTTCGCATTGTTTTTTGAGGTTGTATGACTTTGACAAGTGCAAGGTAAAAAATTGTTTTTTTAAATCCATTTAATCGGCTTTGTTTAATTTGTATATAATATTCTCTTATATATTTGTATATAATATTAATATCTAGTTAAATATGTTTTTTGTAAATATGTTCTTTTCTATATGACTAAATATTTTCTTTCGTTTACTTTGTTTATTACTATATTGGTTATTTGTAAATTTGTTTATTTTTAAACCATAGTTGACTAAAAGTTTTCTATTTAAAAACTATTTTTTATTGTTGCATTAAATTTTGATGTGTGCACAATTTTTTATTGTTGCATTAAATTTTGATGTGTGCACAATTTTTTATTGTTGCATTAAATTTTGATGTGTGCACAATTTTTTGTTGCATTAAATTTTGATGTGTGCACAATTTTTTATTGTTGCATTAAATTTTGATGTGTGCACAATTTTTTATTGTTGCATTAAATTTTGATGTGTGCACAATTTTTTATTGTTGCATTAAATTTTGATGTGTGTTTAAATTTTTTGAAGTTTGATGGTGAACAATAATAAGTATAACATATAAATAAATTATATAAACAATTAATAAATTATATAAACAATTAATAAATTATATAAACAATAAATTACATAAACAATTAATTCTTATATAAAAACAATCTGAAAATCCAAAGTTTGAAGCGTTGAAAAAAATTAAACTTACTTGATATAAAATGACTTTGTTTTCAGTTATTTCATTATGATGATAGTAAATGATTTAGTTTGGATAGTGGAGCAAAGTTTGAGATCAAAACAGTATAAATTTAAAAAAACAATAAAACAAATAATAAATCAATAAAATATAAGTTAACATTTCCTTGACAGTCGACTGAATATACAGAATTACTGCCTGTCTATGATAGCGAAGAAAAACAATGTTTTGAGACAGCAACAGTATAAGCAAAATTAGTTTTTTTTTTATTGATTTGAAAGTAAAAAGTAATTAAAACATAAGATTCTGTTACTACTACTATTAGAAAATTTAGAAATGGAAGAATGTTTTAAAAAAAATTTAGAATGCAAAAAATGTTAACAAAAAGTAAATACCTTTTCAAAAGTAAATTAGTAGGGAAAAATCAAAAAAAAAAAAATAATTTATTTGTAGCATTTATAAAAAAAATTGCTGTTTCTTTTAAACTTGAAATTACCTTATCAAGGAAATATTTAAATTTATTGTATGATGTTTAAAATAAATTTTTTTAAATAAGAACTTATTTAAAAAAATAATAATTGCTTTTTGTGACAAAATATGGAATAAACAAGCGAAGAAAAATAATTTAAAAGAGACAAAATTATTAGGTAAAATTAATTAAGTAATTAGATTTATTGAACTGATAGTTACTGATTTTAAAGCAAAAATATATTATAAAAAAAATATATACATAAAAAAAATTATAATAATAAAAATAAAAATAGCAAAAAAAATATTGTTATAAACAAATATTAAAATAAAGTTATATATTTAAAAGGATACAAATACATAAACTTTCTTTATTACAAACTATGTTTTTAATATTTAATGAGTATTATTTGAATTATATGGCTTTATGATATTTATCCATACTAGCAGTAAGCAACCCGTAATACGGGTTAGTAGTAAATAAATCATTACTAACAATTTGATCTTTATTTACTTTCTCTAATGAAATATAAATTTATTTATACATTTTTTTAGTTGTGCTTACTTTTATTTTTCTTGGCTTCTTAGTTTAACAGAACTCTTAGCTTCATTAAAGATAAAGTTAACCATTTTTTTTGCAGTGTTCAAACATTGTAGCAGTAAGCAACCCGTAATACGGGTTAGTAGTAAATAAATCATTAATAACTATTTGATCTTTATTTACTTTCTCTAATGAAGTATAAATTTATTTATACATTTTTTTAGTTGTGCTCACTTTTATTTTTCTTGGCTTCTAAGTTAAACAAAACTATAAGCTTTATTAGGCCGGGTGAATAAGAAATTCTTGGCTTCTTAGTTTAAGAGAACTCTTAGCTTCATTAAAGATAAAGTTAACCATTTCTTTTGCAATGTTCAGACATTGAATGCGCAAATCACAACCATGTAGAAGTTAAAAATGACTTTAATTATATGCACAGAACATCGATGTCAAATTTTCAAATTCTGTAAAATTGTTTAGGTAAATATTGGGAATATATTTGACTCTTAATTTTGCTTTAAGCTGAATCGTTTCTTTTTTTTTTAAACTTTTCACTTTTTTTTTAAACTTTGTCACTATTGCACCTAAACTTTTTTTATATTTTTAATATACTTTTTAAATATTTTTACAACATCTAAAATATTACACCCAAACTTGTAGGCATAGAAGTTGGATATCCGGAAAAACTATAAGTTGAAAAATATATCGCAATTCCGGAAAGGGCTTAGCCCTGCATACGGATCCTATATTAATATATGATAAAGATTATTACTAAACCAACCTTTTTTTAATTAGTAATCCAGCAAAAACTTGTTTATAAAAAAACAATAAAGGAATATATTGATTTACTTTATAGATAACATATATCAACATATTTATTTCAGCATACATCCAATCCATATTTATTCTAATTTTATAAATTGTCCGGAATACATTTTGCCTTAACTTGGCGTTAAATTATTAGTTTTATTTCATTAATTTTTGTATAGATCAGGTTAATAATAAAAGCAATTGGATTTTACTCAATATTTTTGAAGTAGTTATTCAGCTTTAATAAAATTGATAAAACCATATAAGACAGTTATAAAATATATTTAAACCTTTGTTCACTTTTTGAAAATCCGTAAAAAAGCAAGTCTCAAGTTTACATATCTTTAAAAGAAATTTATTTACATGATATATAGTTAAATATGTAAAAAAATATTTTAAAGCAGAAGCATATATAAAACACATTTTTCTTAAAAAAACAAAGTTGAAGCCACCATTTACAGCACCAAGGAGCCAAGCATAGCCTATTGTAAAAAAAACCATATCAAATAATTTTAAATTTTTATTACCGATAGGGACGACAATTAAACATATTTAAAAAGCTATGTGATTCCATATTAGTAGGATTGTTATAGAAAAGTATATTAAAAAAGTATATTTAAAAAGTATATTTAAAAAAAAGTGTATTAAATAGAAAACAGATTTTTAAAAACTACCTAATTTTGTAAGCATTTTGCCAATGGTGTTCAATTTTGAAACCAATATCTTTAATGGAAAGCCGACTTGCTTAACTAATCTCATTCAAAGAACAAAATTATTAACACTTAAAGATAAAGAAAAAAAAATGAACGAGATATAAACAATCGTACTATAGTATTATATAGATAAGTAGATATATATGAAAAAAAACAACAACTGGAAAACAATATACCCGCAAGGTATCATACTGCTCGCTTCTCAGCTTATTTTGATTATTTCTGATAAAAGCAAGACGCTGGCCTTCAATTTTTACATATGCATCTACAGCATATTGCTGAAATAGTTTCTTGCCATAAAATAAAGAGCAGAAAAATTGCCTAACAGAAAGTCTATAATTGTAGAACTGAGATAATGTAACATGATTTCTAACCAGTGTGGCACGCTCAGGGTTATGCACTAACTGATTATGCCAACCACCATCACTTCTTGGGAAAAAGAGTGGATAAACCATAGGATCTAAGTTGGCTGACATACTTGATACAATTTTTAAAGGATGACCTCTTGGGTAAATAACAACTTCCCTGGAAGTTGGGGGAGCACCATCTTCGCCAACTAATACAACTTCATCATGTGAAGCTAGATTATAACGACGTCTATCAGCAGAGCAACCTTCTATAGGCGCCTTACGAATTTCTTCATCTTCTACTTCAGCCATGTTTTTAAATGCAAGAGCAAATGGACTTTGTTCCATAATTATAGTTTGCAATTGAAACATTAAATCACGTAAACAAAGATCATTACCACGTTGTTGCATTATAAAATTTAGTGAAGCAATATATAGTTGAGAATATATTGGTGGAATATCTTGATCTGGCCTAAGATTACCTACACGATGAAAAATCTGGCCACATATTTTAAAACATGGAAGCCCATGATTCATTGGTTGAACTACATTTGCTGTGAAAAAAGCAAAAGAAAGACAGGCATTATAATTTTGAATATGTTTTAAAAAATTAGCATTAGCATTACGATCTACATAACTCCCTGTAAACAAATCCTGTAAAGCTTGTGTAATTGGTGAAAGTGGAGGCAAAGCTACCTTACCATTATGGCAACATAGAAAATGTGTTTCATCTGAAAATTTCTTAGTATCTCGATCGAGCCTATTTCTTTTGTTTTGGCGACGATTAACGTTTTCTCGATTAAGCCTATTTCTTTTATTTTGTAAATGATTAATTTCATCTCGCCTAAGTCTATTTCTTTCATTTTGTCTATGACTATTTTCAACACGCCTTATAGCACTTACATCATTTTGTAAATACATAACTTCATCTAGCCTATCATTCATTTCAATGTCATCATTTTGATTAAACATATTTATCAAAGCAACACTAATTATTTTTTTTTTACTACTCTAAAGTTAACAATAAAATAAAAAAACTTAATTAATAACTAAAAAAATCTTACTAAAAAAATTAAAAAAAAAAATTCTCAAAACAAATATATAAAGAATCCAAACTAATGCAAAATAAAATTAATTTGCCATCGTCAAAAGTAATACAGGTTTCTTAAGTTTATTTGATAGAAGTTAAGAAAAACCTGCAACCATATTAGCAAAAACTTAATACAAAAAGTTAAAATTTATTCTGTTTCTAATAAAGAAAAAAAAATTTAGAAACAAACAACATATCTTTGCAGACAGCGTCATAAGGCATGCGTTTGGAGAAAACATTGAACAAAACGGGTAATAAAACTTATTAACGCGTTATATACAATAGAAAACGGGTTATTAACGCAGGTTTATAAATTTTTTTTCCCTAACATTATTACGCTGCCGCAACTCCAAGGATATACATAGTTATATATATATATATATATATATATATATATATATATATATATATATATATATATATATATATATATATATATGTATATGTATATGTATATATATATATATATATATATATATATATATATATATATATATATATATATATATATATATATATGTATATATATAGAACATATATATATATATATATATAGAACTATTTATTAGCGAAAACATATGAAAACCAAAATTTTTTATATAATATATATATAGTATATTTGATAAATATACCTCTACAATTTCTTTGGTTCAACAACTTAATTATGATTAATAACAATTCTGTAAATATAAGTTTTATAATGATCTAAATATTTATAAATTAGATATTTTATTTTATATCTTAATTATAAATTAAATAAATTATATTTATCTATAAATTAAATCTTTATAAATTAGATATAAATAGAAAAACAAACATATAATAACACAATTATATCCTAAACCAAAATTCAATAATGCAAGGCAAATTATTAAATTTTTTGAAAAGAAAAAAAACATAATTTTTTCAAAGAACCAAAGTATTAACAATACTATAGATAAATTTTATTTATAACAAAATGTTGTCATGGCTTTTATCCCAATTATTAAAAGCATTTGAAAGCATGAAACTACCCATAAATATCTTTTAATGGTAGACACCATCTAAGAATTATAGTAATCTATATTTTCAATATTAACATGTATAACACAAAGCTTTAAATTTAAAAGTACAATTTAAAAAAGATTACAATAAACTAATTACTTATAAAATTTTAAAAAGATTTTATATATACTCAATGTCTACTTAGACATTTTGAAAAGATTACGATTTTGAAAACTTGAAACTTTAAATTTAAATTTTGAAAAACTGAAACTTTAATTCAACCTTAAAGAAAACAGATATATATTGAAAAGTATTTTTATTTCTTTTTAAAAATTTAAAAATGCTTTTAAAGTTACTCCCTCCAATATTATTATATAATATATATAGTATATATGATAAATAAACCTCCACAATTTCCTTGGCTTAACAACTCGATTATGATTAATAACAATTCTGTAAACATGAATTTTCTAATAACCTAAATAAATTATAAACAATTAAACTTAAATAAAAGTGTATGCAAATGATAAATGCTATATTAAATTCAGAAAGACAAACATAAAATTACACAATAAACTCCTAAACCAAAATTCATTCATGCAAGACAAATTATTATATATTTATTGAAGAGCCAGAAACATATTTTTTTTCAAAGAGCAAAAGTATTAACAATACTAAAGATAAATTTTATTTATAACAAAATTTTCAATAAAAATTAAATTTAGATAAATTTATAACAAAAAATGTTGTCATGGCTTTTATCCCAATAACCAAAATTATGTGAAAGCATGAAACTACCCATAAATATATTTTAACGCTAGGCACAATCTAAGAATTAAAGTAATCTATAACACGAAGCTTTAAATTTAAAAGTACAATTTAAAAAAGATTACAATAAATTAATTACTTATAAAATTTAAAAAAGATTTTAGATTACCTATAATTTTAAGCTACTAAACATTATCTACTTAATGTCAACTTGGACATTTTGAACTCGTACCATGAAAGGTTGAAAGGAAATCTTTAAGAAAGAACGCGGTAAAGAAAAGTCTAGAAACTACTTTAAAAGTGTATTTTACAGATACAGAACCGTACCGTAACTATAAAACAATACGCGTAACTATGCGCACTAATATCCACTGGAAGAATTATATTTAGATTATGCACAAGATACTGAGTCACATGACGTATTGTTCTAATGCCAAAATTGCATAGAAGTGTTATGCATATAAAAAAAATAATCATCTACATTTCAATTTATTTATTTTACCCATTTAATGTTGATTGTCAACCTTTAAATAATTATTTCACCCAATCATTGTTGGTTGTCAATCTCAGAATAATTATTTCAAGTACTGTAGAAAAGGTTTAGGAAATTAAGACTATGACTTTCTGATACTAAAACAAGTTTCTGATACTAAAACAAGTTTCTGATACTAAAACAAGTTTCTGATACTAAAACAAGTTTCTGATACTAAAACAAGTTGAGATTCTTTTTTTGAGTTTTCTTCTTTGTTAAAAAAATCTTGGAATTAAAAAATGTTATTAAAAAGCTCTTGTTGATCCAGAATAGCTTCGGTTTTAAAAGAAGAAATAACTCTGATATTGTTCAGACTCATGAAGAGAATTCATGGCATTCTAATGTTATGGCATTCGAATGCTATGGCATTCGAATGTTATGGCATTAGAGAAAAGAGACTGATTTGATAAAACCTGATCAAGTTTTTTTTTTTACTACGAAATAGAGCATGAAAATAATAACCTAATAAAATTTCTACTAGAATTAAAAACATTATTGGATTCAAAATTTGAATTGTATGTTGTAATGTGGAACGAATTAGGAAAAAAAAGCTGAAAATAAGCAGAAATCAATAAATAAATTAGAAATAATATTCATAAATAAATATTTTCATTAAAAAAAAGAACTAAAGTACTAACTTTAAATATTTTCAAATATTATCAAATTAAAATTAAAAAGTTAAAATATTATCAAATTAAAATTAAAAATTATTCAAATATTATCAAATTAAAAATAAAAAGTCAGTTTTTGAAAAGACCAGAAAGAAAGATTTTACAATGCTAAGTCTTCTCCCCTCTTTTATAGAAGCAAAAATAAGTTTTAATGCAGCCTGATATTTTTAATTTTTACCTCCCCAAGGCCACTGTGTGGAGAATCAAGTAGAAGACCACTGTGGAGAATCAAGTAGAAGACCACTGTGTGGAGAATTAAATAGAAGGCCACTATGTGGAAAATCAAGTAGACGGCCAGTGTGTGGAGAATCAAGTAGAAGGCCACTGTGTGGAAGATCAAGTAGAAGGCCACTTTATAGAGAAACAAGTAGAAGGTCAGTGTGTGGTGAATCAAGTAGGAAGCCACTGTGTGGAGAATTGTGACTAAGGCCAGTGTGTGAATTGTGACTAAGGCCAGCTGTGCAGAGAATTTAGTAAAAGGCAACTGTGGAGAATTAAGTAGAAGGCCAGTGCGGAAAATTAAGTAGAAGGCCAGTGTGGAGAATCAAGTAGAAGGTCGCTGTCTTAATCATATGAAGTTGTAATGATTTTTTTTTTTTATTATAAATAATTTTTAAAATAATAGAAATTTAATTACTAATTAATTTAATTTAAAATAAAAAAAATAAAAGTTTGAAATCAATTAATCTACCCTTTTTCGTGCAAAACGGCAAACCAAAAAATATTTAAAATTATGTGGGTATCTCAGCATTTTACAATTGAAAGTAGTACCTAAAGTGCAAGTGTCACAGTTTGAAAGAGTTAGTACTAAAATTCCTATTGAAATTAAAGTTGTTTCTGATATTAAAATTACATCTTTAATAAAAAATTGCATATGAATTAATAACAACTGTGTAAATATTCTCAATAATAGTAATTATAAAAATTATAATAATAAATTTTTTGTTAATAAATTATAACATTAAAGTTTTTTTTTTAAGAATTAATGTAACTTTAATTATTTTTAAAGGAATGTCATTTAAAAGTGCAAAAAATATTACAGATTGATTTGGCACTTACCGGTAAGATATTGTTGTTATGTTATATTAAGATATTTGTTTAGAATGTATGGTTAACTATTTATTTATCTTAAATAAGAAATATTTTATGTACCATCTGTAATTCTATAACTAAAAATTAAAAGCTGGTTGCGCTTTAACACAGTGTTATTTTTTATATAGAAGACATATAGAAAGTTTGAACAGACAAAATGTTTTGTTATATAGAAAGTTTGAGCAGACAAAATGTTTTGTTATATAGAAAGTTTGAACAGACAAACTGTTTTGTTATATAGAAAGTTTGAACAGACAATATGTTTTGGGCACAAGTGCAAACATAACTATAGAATTTTACATTTAATCAAAGTTTAATTAATTAAGAAGTTCATTAGCTCATATAGTTTAAATATATTTATATTTTTCAGAACTTTTATCTTAACATTTTAAATGAAATGCACTTTCAAATTGCTTAAATTCTAAAGCATAACTTAAGGCAAGATATCATTGGATCTTGTCAGCAAATTAGTTTACAATGAACAAATAACACATTTGGTATTTTTTTTACTTAAAAGTTTAATGGTCTACTTAGAAAAAGAGAAATAAAACAGTGAAAGTAAATCTTTTTAACATTTCTAAATTTTTTACTTATTTAAAAAATTAAGGAAAATATGTATAAGGAGCTAAGTGCCTGGAGCTGTGTATTCTAGGCGCCAGAGCTGAGCCTTAGTCTAGGATGGTGTTACAATTTTTAATTTCATTTAGCCAGGTCATTAAAAATTATTAAAAGTAATACTTTTAACATTATTAAAAGTTTTTATTTTTTACATTTAAAGTTTTTAATACTTTTAACATTATTAAAAAAGTTATAACAAATCATGTGACTTGTAATAACCCTTTTAGTAAAGTAAAGTGTATGAATATGAAAAGTGTTTGTTAACCTACCATTTATAATGTATTTTTAAGTATTAAGATGTGGTGTTTTAAAGCTATTAATATAGTAGTACTTCTCAGACAGGATCCCGTTTTCCCGGTATCCCGGTGGTAAATTTTTTTTTTAACATTTTGAAAAAAAATTGAAAATATCATCTCTCAAAATTTGAATACTCTTTGGAACAAATTTGAGATTAGGCAGGATGGAGCACCAAGTTTTTTATGCACATGGGCTACATGTAACAGATTGTGATGTTCTCTACAAAATATCAATGATTTCAAATTCATCAAGCAGTCAGTGTAATGCATCCAACAGCCAGAATTTTGATGAAAAAAATAGTAAAAATGATGAGACTGAAGAAATCTATTTTACAACTTCAGTAGATTTACAGGCAAGCCAAAACAACAATTTATTTAAGTTAAGAGACATTGAGCTCACTGATGAATCATTAGACAACATTAGTATTGTACAAAAAATTCAAAAGATCAAGTTAATACTAGATGTAAAGACAAGGTGAAATAGTCTTCTTGCAATGTTAGAGCGATTTATTGCATTAAAAACATGTATATTAAAAACTTTGATTGATTTTAAACACAACAATATTAACAATATTTTGGAGGAGAAATATTTAGTGGTGCAAACTGTAGTAATGGCGTTACAACGAATAAAACTGGGAAAAAAAAGACTTGGCTTATGCAATTCATCCCTATTTGATCCAGAGGGTGTATTAGTGTTTATATTAGATGTTTTGTGCAAAAATAAAGATTGCTTTTGGTTATAACGCTGCCATATGTGCAACAAAAAATTGAATGAAAATTTAGTTGGCTTACTAAAGTATTTAAATAATCCATCAAGTTATTAACACGAATCAGTCCTTCAAACTATAACTTAAAAATTGTTTTCTAAGAAATTTGTTTAGGATATTGGTGGTGGTACTCCCACTGCTTGAGTTTGAAGAATTAGAATGCAGTAATGATGGGACTGAAATCTTGTTTATGGCAGAACCAAATTTATCGACTACATCTAAATTAACACTTATTCAAAAATAATAAAAGACGTTAAAAACATTACAAAAGAAATCAGTTATTTGATGCTACAAAAAAGCATACAAATAATTTCAACAAATTGTATAATGCTCAATAAACTATCCCACTGACATCAATCGAATTGGAAAGAGCTTTTTTGGCTGCAGGTCTTTTTATCACAAAAATTTGGTCATTGTTAAGTGATGGCATTATTGTCAATTTTTATTTTTTAGTTTATTTTCTATGAATTATTTTGTATTTAATTTCTTTATATTTGGCTTTTCTTATATTAGGTCTTCGCAAATGGCCAATGCGATTTTATAACAGTAAAAGAGAAAAGTTAAGATAAATATAAAGAATATAAAAAAAATCAAATTATATATAAAAATATTAATTGTTTATTTTATAAATACAAATAATTCATCAACAATCATATAAATTAACTTGCAAACACGTACACAAAAAATCATTCAAAAAGGAAAAAAAAAGAAAAAAAAAAAAAAAAAAAAAGAACGTCAAATTTAAAAAGAAAAAAAAAGAACACTTCATAAACTTATATAAAATAAAAACAAAAAGAAAACAATACAAAGGAACGAAAGTAATGTAAAGTTAACAAATAAAAAGAAATAAAGAATTAATTAATCAAATAAAAAAGAAGGTAGAACTAGAAGATTGGTTATTTTTATAACTTTTCTTTTTTCTTTACGATGTAATTTGTAATTATGATTCATTAGTTATTATTTTTCAGTCGTTAAATTATTATTTGTTTTCCCAAATTAAATTATTTATTTATAGTTAATTATATTCATTAGATACTTAGTTATTTTATTTATTACATATGTTTTTAATATTATATTCTTATAAACTTATTTATAAACTTATTTTTATATTATATTCTTATAAACTTTTTTTTATTTTTTTTGTTGTTGGTATCTTGGTTAATAATATTATTATTGGTAGCAGTTAACAGTAGTTATATTACTATTAGTATATATTATAATTATAAAATATATTATTGTAGTATTATTAGTTTTTTTGTATTCAATGTTTTTTGTTGTCATAGTTACTTTTAATTTTAGTTTGTGGTTTGTCTAAATTTAATTTATTTTGAGTGTTTAATTTTATAACTCTTAGCTTTTAGTTACCTTTAGTGTTAATCACTTTTTTCTATCATCGTTCTTATTTCTTTATATTGTTATGAAATTTATTTTTGATTACTCACACCTCTTGGTAACTTCGGTAACTGTGGTTACATCACAGTTACCCTAGTTTTAAGTTATTTTAATTGTCTACTTTGCATTCCTTTTATCTTTTACACTTTAGTCACTTCGACTAGTTAACACTGCATGTACATATATATTTTTTCTAAAGATTATGACATTTAAATCTCTCTGCAACACTTTTCATAAAAATATAACTAATAATCAAAGAGCCATCCAATGTGATCTTTGTAACTCATGGGTCCATGCGAAGTGTAACCATAATGATGCATACTCTTATAATCTTCTTTTGAATGACTTGTCAGATTTGTATCGCCATAGCTGTTCATCTAAGAGTGTGGCCTTTAGCTTGATTTCCAACTTAGAGCTTAAGTCGACATTGTTATGCAAGAATATATCTACTAGTCCATTAAACTCTTTTGAGACTCCAAATAATCATAAAATCTTTATAGATTTAAATGAATTTCCCAGTTCTGTTAATTGCAAATACTATGTTATTGATCTCAATAAAACTATGCTTCCCAATTTAGAACTATATAACATTGCATCTCTATTATTGCACATTGACAAACTCAGTAATCTTATAAGCTTTCTTAGTTATTTTCCCTTAGCAACAGGTATATTAGGTTTATATATAAACAATACAAATATAACTGATACATACATAAAAAGATTTAATATTGAGCGAGTCCTGCTGAGGCTAAAAAAACTTTTATACTTATGCTCAAATTTAAACTTTGTAGTCATAGCAATGATCTTATGGTTTACTCTTCTAAATATTTAGAGTCTATTTTTGTTGATATTGCAAAATATCAATTGTGAATCAAGTGTAGTAATTGCTGTATTTATTGTCATCCCTCAATGAATCAACATGAATTCTTCCCACTTCAATTCTCTACTTGTTAAATTAAGTAACGAAAAGAAAAAGATTTTTCTAATGAGTGACTTTAATATGCTTCAGTCACAATAAATTTAACCCTGTTTCTATTTTTTATATATATCTCAATTTTTTATTATCTCACTCGCTAAGCCCTTCTATAATTTTTCCATCACGCATAACGGCTACATCAAAAATGCTCTTTGATATTCACAAACTTTTATTCAACTGATCAATTCTCAGGTAACCTTGTCAACAATTTCAATTTCAGACCACATGGCACAATTTATTTGCATTCCTGGCATACCCAACTACCCCAAAAAATTAAAAATTTGCAAACAATGCTTCAAAAAATTTAATAAAATTATATTTATTGAAGAAATTTCTGCTATCAACTGGAAACTCTCTATTAAAAAATATGATGATGTTAATAAATCTAGGAATTTCATTTTAAAAACATTTGATGAAATCTTAAAACTACATCCTCCTAACTTACCAGCAAATTAAACTTTAATCAAAACCTTGTATCATGTATGGAATTCATATATTTGTTTCAGTTAAAAACAAACTGTGTATAAAAAGTTTATAAAATCAAAAAATATTTATAACAAAAATGAATAATTTTCGAAATTTAAATTTTATAGAAACAAAATTTGCAATTTGTTAAAATTTAGCAAAAAAACATACTTCATTACATATTTTAATAATAATCTGAACAATATTAAAAACACCTGGCGGGAATAAAAGAAATCATTAATATTAGACCTTCTTCCTACAATGCATTTTTTAAACTTAAATTGAATGAAAATTTTATCACTGATCACACTGCTGTATCTAATATATTTAATAGTTTTTTTAGCACTATACATAAACTATTTAGCAAAGCTATTCCCCTAAACATATATTTAGTGACTTTCTTAACATTCCAAATGTCAAATCATTTTTTATTAATCCTGTAAATAAAAACGAAATATATGGTCTCGTTACAAACACACTCAAAACTTAAAAAAGTCTTGGTTTTAATAGAATACCTAAATTCCTCCTTAAACTTGTCCCACACACTATTTCAAAACCTTTCTGTACTGTTATAAATAACTCATTTAAAAGTGGCATTTTACCAGATATTTTATAAAGTTGCCAAAGTCATTCCAATATTTAAAAAAGGCTCTCTACTAGATTTCACCAATTACCGACCCATCTCCCTGTTTTCTAATATAGGTAGGTAACTCTTTGAGAAGGCAATGCATAATAGGCTCTATGCTTTTCTTGATAAATTTAAATGTTTTTACACTTTTACACTTTTGGATTTTGTGCCAATTACTCCAAAACTCATGCTCTTATTGAAATGACTGAATTGATTAGAAAAGCAATCGATAATAAATATTCTGCATGTGGTATATTTATCAGTTTACAGAAAGCATTTGATACAGTAGATCATTCAGTTTTGTTAAAAAAATTAAAATATTTTGGGATCATAGGCATATCCCTTAAATGGTTTACTACATATTTAAACGAAAGAACACAATTTGTTTTTATAAATGACTCCAAATCTACTCTTGTAAAATGTTCCTGTAAAGTATTTCTCATGGTTCAGTATTGGGACCACTGCTTTTCCTTTTTTATATTATTGGTCTTCATACACCCATTAAGTCTGCTACTGTTTACCACTTTGCTGATGATACTAATCTAATGATAATTAATAAATCCCTTCAAAATATTAACAAAAACATTAACCATGATCTTGCCAATCTAGTTCAGTGCCAACAAACTTTTTCTAAACTCTTATAAAACTGAGCTCGTTATCTTTAAATCAAATGAAACAAATCTATAAACATATGAACTTTAGATTAAGTGGCAAGTAAGTTGAACCTGTTAACTCGATTTAATATCTTGGTATAAAAATTGATTCAAATCTTTCTTTTTTATCCCACTGTAAAGACTTAGCAATGAAACTAAGTAGATGTAATGGCATGTTGGCCAAGTTTCGCCATTATGTTAATCTTGAAACACTCTTAAATATATACTTTGCTATTTTTGAATCACATCTAAGATAAGCCAATTATGGGGGCAGTCCCATCATAAGTTCTTATTAGGTTATCCCAACTCCAAAACAAGACATAAAAAATTACTTATTTCCAGAATATTAATTTTAATCCTAATGTGTTCAACCTAAATTCTAAACTATGTGACTATAATCAACTTTTAAACTTTCAATTTCTCTGGAGCCACCAACACAATAACCTACCTTTAACTTTCATCAATTTCTTTTCCAAAAGTGCCAACACTCGTTCCAATGGTAATTTAAACTTATCTGTCTCTGAACACCGTTCTCATAATTACGGACATAAATCTCTAAAATATCAAGGCATTAAAACTTGGAACAACCTTCCTTATGAATTAAAAGTTCTCAACTTTTAAAACCAGTTTATTCTACTTTTTATTAAAAAAATACAGTTAATATTTATAATTTCTATAATCAATTTTTGTTGTCTGTAGTACTAATTATCTTTATTACTGTCGTTATTGTTATATTGTTATAGTATAATTTTTCTATAATTACTATATCTATATTATATTTATTGTTGTTATTATCACTGTTGTTATTATTATTGAGTTTTACAGGTGTTTATTTAATATTAGTACTCATTACTATTTGTAAATATTCTTGAACTTTTATTCAGAATTATATTTGATTTTCATTTGATTATATTTGATTTATCTTTTTATTATTAAAAATAATAGTATCAAAAACACATTTTGTGTGTATTTGTTTGAATTTATTCATTTTTTCCCACCTAATTGGATAAGTTCTTGATTTTTACTTAATCCCAGGATTTCTGAGATCCTGGGAAATGAAATATTTTTGTCAGGGAATCCCAGGAATCGGATTTTTACAGGAAATGAGAAGCCCTATAATATATGGCTGGTTCTTCTAATGATATTTTATCTTCTAGTCCAAACATACATTGTAAACCTACTTTATTTGCCGAGCTTATGCCTCTCTCCCATTGTTATAAAGTTGCTTCTCTTTCTTTATTCTACAAATACTATTATGGTTGCTGCTCAAAGGAGCTATTATCTCTAGTTCCATCAACCAAAATTCATTATAAATTGAATCGTCATTCAGCAAAGTCTCATCCTATTACTGCATCTGTCCCTGCTTTAAAAACATTTTTTTTTTTCCATTTGGAAATCTCACTCATCTTTCCTGACTCCATGACAACCATGCTCTTTAAGTCTTTTATTGTTTATTTTTCTCTCAACTTTATAGTGGTTTCTTGCAACCTTGCTGAGAGTGAACCTGAATTTAAAAAAAAAAAATGTATGCTGCAATTTAAAATCTCACAATATAAAGGTTTTTTGTTTTTTTTAATGAAACACTATTTAAATTGAAAAGCATTTTTCCAGTTGGTTTAAGTGGTTTATATTCCCATGAAATGTTTGCTTTTGTTCTTACAATATTAATTATGCACAAAAAGATAATTATGTACCAAGTATGAGGAATAGAATAAAGAAACAAATAAAAATAAACATAGTTTTTAAACTCATCAAAATTACAGGAAGATATTATTACTTAAGATAAATGGGATAAATCTTGCGAATTTAAAATAATGGAAAGATAATTATCTTTCCATTATCTTTTTAATTGCACATCAGGAAAAAAGAAAATTTACCAAATGCTAGAGCACTGTAAAAGTGCTTGAAAACTGTTAAATATGAAAACAAACTTTTTACTATGAGTAGAGTTTGAAAAAATAGCTGTAATTTATTTTGAAAAAGTTTCTTTATTATAAACATTTAAATGTTGTTTCTTTACACACCCTGCAAAAATATGCTGATGTTTTCTTTCCATTTAGAGCCAGCAAGTGGAATTTTGTTTTTTAATTGAAAGAAACATATAAGAATTTAATATTTTAAGGGATACATTTGCGAGATTAAATTGTATTTTTTAAAAAGTTTATTTGCAAAAAACTTTACTTTAAAACCTGCAACTGGTTTGAAATATTTTCAAAAAAGAAAAATTGTTTTATAAAATTTTGAAGACAATCTTGGCTTTAGAATTCAGACATTTTGTAACAACTCTTATTCAAGTATAACACTACAATAAGAATTTCTTAGTTGTAGGTAATATTATATTTGTAATATCACACAACATTTGCAAAATTAAATCTAGTAAATTCATTTGATATAAATGTTTGAAATTTTCCAATAATATACTCTCCCTATATAAAGCTCAACATGAATTTAGCTACCATTGCTTTCGTTTTGGTCAAAGTCTTAAACTAATTATTAATAACAAAATTATAAGAATTATAACAATTTATTCCAATTCATTCAGTGTTAATTTATTCCAATTTATTTCAAGTGTTAATTTATTCCGATTTATTCTAGTTGTTTTAAAAAGCTTTGTTTAAAATTTTTGTTCATTTTTATCTTTCAGCAATCAATAAGCTTTTTTGGATTTCATTTTTTTTATGTAAAGAAATTCTAACTGCAATAGTTTTATAATTTTGTAATATAGGATTATTGAAATAAAATGATTACAACATAACTAAATATTGGACAAAAATATGTCCCCTGTCAAGAAAATCTAAGTTACCAGGTTTGATTCAGTTTAAAAAACAGCTAATAGAATTAGTAATGATATCATTTCAACTTAAAAATTTAATGCAAAACCATTTTGATTGAAGAGTTAGGTTTTTGACAAATTACATTAAAAAAGAGTTTCTTAAAAAATTCATATTTGGCTGTTATATAGTCTTTCATTTTGTTAAGTTTGTTAAATAATTCAAAATTATCTTTTTTTTTAAATAAATTTCTTTTAAAGGTTCTTTTAAAATCTTTGATTTACAAAAAAATTATTTTTTCTACTTTTATTTAAAACATTTAATTGGTGACTTTTTTGTATTTAAGTATAAATTTAAAATTGATTTTCATGGTCAAAATCATATCAAATTTTAAATTTGTAGCATGTGTTTATATTTTATTAGCATCATTGGGTAAAAGAACAAAGTTTCAAGAAAACAACCTTCCTCAGATGAGACTTGATATAAATCTAAATGAATCAAGAGGTAAGTAAGTTAGAAGATGTATCAAACTGAGTAGGGACCTTATCATACCTTATCAATATCATCCAATAACATACCTTATCATACCAACTTATAACATCAATGTAGTGGTTGCTTAATGATTCATCATCTTGGTAGAAACTTTATAGGACTTTGTAAGTAAGACCAAGGACTTTATTAGTAAGACCAAGAGCTTTGTTAAGAAGACCTTTTGTAACATATATATAAACATTGCATAACAGATCAAAATATGACCTTGCATCTTGTAGTAGCACCTTGCACCTTGTTGCATGCAATCTATATGTGATGAGCATCACACTATCTAACGTCTAAGTAAATACATCATTGTTGTTAAATCTAAACATAAATATTTAATCTATTCAAACATAAATATTTAATCAACTAATCATTTAATTGATAATCAATGAGCTACATAAAAAAAAAAATTGAAATAAAAAAAAAAAAGTATATATAAGTTAATAAATATTTTTTATTACATGTAGTATTTTTTTAGAAATTGTAACAAGTCATGGAGAAGTAACTAAAGAGTTACCAACAGTTAGTTTATAAATATTTAGCGTAATAATAAATAATTTTAGTTTTACAAATAAAATTCATTTTATTTATAAAAAAAGTAAATTTTAATTTTTAAAATATAACTAAATAATGATATGTGTTTTTAGGATATAACTTTAAATGATGATACTCTGCTACCACACATAAAGTTCATTGATCAAAGTTCTTTGAATTATGTAAATATTTCTCCAATCGATCAAGCATTCATTTTATCGACATGGTAAGTTTTTACTCATCAACAAAATGGTTAAGTTTCATTTAAGTAAAGATATTTGTGTCTGTTACTGTTACTGTTACATTAGTAAGTTTTTTTGCATACTATGAAAAGTCTCTTGATGGTTTTTATTGACAACATTTTCTGGCAACATATTTATAGCATACTTTGTTATATTATCAAATATATTAATCTCTGAAATTTTATTTTATTTTTATGAGTATTTGAAGCTTTTATTTTCATGAGTATTTTAGGCGATTTTATTTGAAATGCTTTTGTTTTTTGATAAAATTTATTTTTATTTAAAACTTTTGAAAGTTTTTTAAGTCAATATATTGATAACAATGTTTATCCTGTACCTAATAATATCAAATCTCAATACGATTTCCAAAATCCTGTTAAGCATTGATGATTTTTTGACCACTGTTTTTCATATCTGCAAATCTGCAGTATTTTGATACAATTGATCTGTATTAAGGATGACTTCAGTGTCACAAATATTTTACTAAAATCACATCACGCTTGCATTCTTGAAAGTCCTTTTTTTGTACTGAATCAACAAAGTTTAAATTGATAGTGAGTATATATATATATATATATATATATAATATATATATATATATATATATATATATATACAAAATAATTTTAATTTTAAAATAGTTTTAAAATTATTTTATACCTCTTTATTTATAGTATTTATCTTCATAAATCTCGCCCTCGGGATAAACTTACTGTTGAAGAAGTGATGCCATATATAGAAGTAATTTTTTAATTTTTGATGATATTTTTTTACCAGGTTTGCAGAGTTAAATCAATAAACTAAATGTGGAGTCTGAATTTTGCTTAAAGTTTATAGATTTTTTTAAATAATCATTTTTTAAAAAACATAAATTTTGTCTTTTGAGAAATTACTTAAAAATGCAAGTTTCATTTGTTTTGGAAAATTTTTTTTTTTTTTTTTTGTACAGTTTAAAAAGTTAAATAGTAATTTGTGTTATACTTTGAAAATAATTAATTTTTTGCAGCATGCGGAATAACATAGTAAGTAATACAGTAAATATAGTAAATAATATAATAATATAGTTGAATACAAATTACAATACCAGTTTATTTACCATCTAAATACATATCTGATTTAAGTACAAATCTGATCAAGTGAATTTTTAGACACAAACATACACACAAAATATTTGACACACACGCATACACACAAACTATTTGAAAATATATATAATTAAAATTATAAAATAATATGTTATAATAAATAAATTTTTTGAAAAGTTATAATTTTGAAAATTCAAAGTTAAGATTAAAAAAATCAAAAAAAATCTAAGAAAAAAAGTAATTACTTGTACGTATGCAATTGCTTATGTATGGTGGCCATCATGGGTAGTGCATGTAAGCAAAGAAAATCTATTGCACAAAAATACACTTTAAGTTAGACTTTACCATTGCCTGTAGTCTATATCTTGCAAAAAATACAGCTCAGACTGAAATCATAACACTCAGTTAATTTTTTGCGGTCTTTACCATAACAATATATAAATATTTATATTAGTAAACATAAAAAGTAAACAAATTAGAAGACCTATAATAAATAATGTAATAAAGATCTATAAAGAAAGTCTGAAATGAAGATCTGTTAATGGTGAATATAAAAATATTGTTTTTTTTAATTATATTTGTTATAATTAAAAAATTGTTTTTTTAGACTTGGATCCTCTTTTCTTTGACAGTTTTGTAGTACAAATATCTATTAATAAGAAAAAAATAAACAACTGATTTTTCGCTCCCAGCATCATCCTAGTTCAGCTTCCTTCAGCACTGTTGACTTGTCTGCTCACTTAACTTTTCTTATATTGCCAACACTTTTAATCAAAACTGATTGAACTTTCCTTATAAACAATTACTTCTACATTATACTCAGCCTCTTTTCTCAACTTTTGTAAAAGAGGCTGAGTATAATGTTTATCAATTTTTCTCATAGAAAAATTGATAAACTTAACTAAGTTAACTTAAAAGTACAACAAGACTTTTTTTTTTCCTTGTTTTAACTTCTTCAATAACTGCATTGCCAATGCATGGAGCAGCTTGCCAGATTTCGTTGTCTATTTTTCATGATTCAATAGCTTTAGTTAAGAAACTTTAAGGCTTAATTTAAGTAAGCTTTGACAGACTCCAAAAGTTCACAACTCTTCAAAGTTTTATTTTTGATTTGACTAAACTAATTTTAGTTTTTAATTATGTCAATTATTTTTACTTCTGCTATAACTAAATATACTGTTAGTTTATTTATTTATTTATTTTTGCCATATAAAGTCTAAGTAATAAAAATTTTGTTTACATTTCGAGATCATTAAGCCATTGCACTAATAACTGATAAGGAAATTTTAATATCGATTGTTGATAGAAGCAAATTTTATTTTTTATTGTAAATTTGTATAAGTCTCATGTGGAGATTTTTTATATGCTTTATGATCTATTTAGTGTGTTTTACAAGCTCCAAAAGTGTGGTCAATTCAGTACAAGTGTTTGTATCTCAGATGTTTACTTGAATTTGCTAGCACGAGAAAAATGGAGCGATCTATCACTCAGTTAGAAGAATTACATAATACATACACAAAAAATGTACCAGAGGTATGATAAATTTTATAAACTAATTATTTCTTAAGTTAAATAATTTTAGGTAAAACTACTATTTGAAACTCTTTCCCTAAAAATATAATAACCTTAAAAAAAAAAACAATTTTGAAAAAATTATTACATTAATAGGTTTCAGAAAGACAAATTCTTATGCATAGTATTGGTTTGCAACCAATCTGGAAGTGCGAGGTTTTATTATTTGTTTGTGATTTTGTTTGTGTTAATCTTTATATTATACATTTTTTTATTCAAAATTCATAAATGATTAATGGACTAATGTTTTACAGTTGTAAGATGGTGTTGTAATGATGGTGTTATAGTGATGGTGTTATAATGATGGTGCTATAAAAATGGTGCTATAATGATGGTGTTATAATTATGGTGTTGTAGTGATGGTGTTCTAATGATGGTGTTATAATGATGGTTTATAATGATGGAATTTAATAGACAAAAGATTTTTTGCACATTATTTGGGGTTAAATAACGGTTTGTAGCAAATGATGAATGTTTTTTTTTTTTTTTTGAAGTCGTTATTTGTACGCTCGTATAAATAAGGTTTACATAATACAACTCTTATTTGTACGCAAAAAATGTTTGTATACTTATTGGGGAGATTTTTAATTTTTAATGGTAATGTTTTATTTATAAGTAGTTTTATGTTATTAACGATTGTTTTTTTTATTTATAGTTTTATTTATTATTTATTTTCATTTTTCAAAGTTTCATAGAATAAGTGCAGCAATGCATACATAAATTGGCTGATTTAGATGTAGTCAGAGTTGAGTATACTGACTTTAATAGTGATAGGCACTGTGGAGTGTAAATACATCGGCAGACTTAAATAGGCATAGGTGCAGTAGTGTGTACATGCATCGACTGACTTAAATAGGCTAGGCGCAGTGAGGTGTACATGTATCTACTGAGGGTTTAGGTTTGGGCAGGTATTCTTTAAAACAAATGAAAGGTATTTTAATATTTATTTAGATTAAGTTTATAAATTAATTTAATTTGTATTAAAAAAATTTAATTTGTATAAAATAAAGTTAAATTAAACAAGAATTTTAAGTGAAATGGTCAAAATAGTTAATAGTTAATAATAACTTATGTTTAAATACGCACCTACAACTAAGAAAAAAATTAGTTTTACGCTCATACAAATAATGGCGACCTTTTTTTTTTAACAATTTTGAGTTTATGGTATTAGAGTCAGAAACATTGATGTAAATATCAGAAACATTGTTAAATGTAAATATCAGAAACATTGATGTAAATATCAGAAACATTGTTAAATGTAAATATCAGAAACATTGTTAAATGTAAATATCAGAAACATTGTTAAATGTAAATATCAGAAACATTGTTAAATGTAAATATCAGAAATATTGTTTAATGTAAATATCAGAAACATTGTTAAATGTAATGATCAGTAACGCTGTTAAATGTAAAGATTAGAAACATTGTTGTAAATATCAGAAACATTGTTAAATGTAACTATCAGAAACATTGTTAAATGTAACTATCAGAAACATTGTTAAATGTAACTATCAGAAACATTGTTAATTGGAATCAAGGAGGGAATCATGAGAGTAAAATAAAAAAAATTTGTTTTAACTAAAATAGTTCAAGATGAAAGTTTAAATTCACAAAATTTTATTGTAATAGGGAAAATTCCACATTAAAAAATTTATCAGAAGCGTAAAAGTCACTAAATTAGCTGCACATATACTATGAAAATTTTATATATATATATATTTTTTTTTTGCAATTCAAATAAATATTTAATATGTGCTTTGTTTTATAGTTAAATTAATTTTTCAGCAATCTCAAGCTGAGTTACTCTTATCCTGTGGGTTTACAGATAGTGCACTTGAAATATTTTTACGTTTACATTTGTGGGATGATGTAATTGTTTGCTATCAACGTCTTGGAAAGCATGGTAAAGCCGAGAAGATTATTCGTAATCAATTAGCTATTAGAGAAACAGCTGTACTATGGTGTCTTCTTGGTGATGCAACAATGGTAATAATATTTATTGTAAACATAAATAGTTGTTTGAAATATCCCATTTCTCCGACTGGCATTAGTAATAAGGAATCATCCATAAAGTATGTTCAATCGGATAGGACCCCTCGGAGGGGTCTGCAAATGGCGTATATGTGATGGGGGGGGGCAGTGGGTTAATTATAAATGTAAGGAAACACTAAATGAAAAAAAGATATCATAAAATTATGGGTAGGTAGGTTAAAAGCGTAGGTACTTTTACAAAAGCGGAGGGTACTTAAAAAAGCGTATAGCAAAATTTGTTAAGGGGGTCTGGGCATCGAAATAAAAGTATTTGTACTTTTTGGATGATCCCTAAACATTTAAATAAATAATATATTAAATAAATAATAGTTTGTTACATTAATTAGTAAAAAGTAAAATCATAAGATTTTATTTTTTCCTTTTAAATATTTAAATTTTCTGCATAAAGATAGTCTGCAGAGAAAATGTGTAAAATATAATGTCGGACTCAATTGTATATTTTATTTATCGGAAAACTACCTTATGTATGAATTTTCTGAGAATAGTAATGCTTAAAGTAATTACTTGAAGTTGATTTTTTGATTTTTTTCTCTACAGATAAAATATTCACTTTTTATCATACTTCAATCAGTTGATGTTTCAGTATTTGTTGTTATTGTTACTGAAATGTATATATACAGGGCTCGAATTAACGCAAAAAAATCTAATGGCAAAAAAATTTTTTTTTGGCTCTGCCTACTCCCTCCCCCTCATGCCTTGCGCCACTGTTGTAATGGGGGGGGAGGGGAGGCGTATCTTTTATATTGTTATTGTTAAATTTATTAGCATATTATCTCTTATATTGAAATATTATCTTATAATTTTCTCGTTTGGTGGAGTTTAAAATAGCATAAGTTACTGTTATAATTTACAGCTTAAGTTATAATTTAAAGTTTAAGTTACAGTTATAGTGTAATAAGCAAGTAACGAATTTAATACTATTTAGATATTTCTTTTAGAAATTGTTTTTACTTAACATGATACTTAAAAAAGTAAAAGTAAAAAACTAAGAGTAAAAACGCAAATATTACATAAATATTACATAAATAATATTTATGTTTTTATATTGTAATATTACAATATTTTATCCACTTATTTAGTCATAGAAAACTATTTAATACATACTTGCTGAAGATAAAACACATGTTATTTTTAAAGAGTATTTAATTGTTATTGTAAAAAGCTATAATAAAACAATAAAACAACAATAAAAGCTATAAAACAACATTAAAACAAACTCCAAAGGTGTTTTAAAAATATAAAGAGCTGGTATGATTATAAAACAACTTTGTGACACTGTTTTGTGCTGTTTTATACAGTTTATAACTTTAATAACATAAAACGCGTTTAAAATAAAACGAAGCAAATAAATAAAATATTTCTAATTAATAAGTTAAAACATTATCGTCATAAAACTTCATATTTGCGCAAAAACATGACCATATTAATCTATAATCTCTATAGACCAAACAATAGCAACAAAGCATTAGATGCCAAGGTTTTTTTATAATTTATTGTTTCTTGATCTAGCGTACAATTAAAAATTTAAGCATAATTAAGTTTTTCATTTAAATGGTTGTTAAATTGATGTTTTCATTCAATTTTTTTTTTTGAAATTGTTTTCTAATATAAAGTGAAACAAAAAAATTTGGTTTAATAAATCGAATTATATTTCTTTAAATTTAAGAATATGCTCAAATTATTTTTTTAGACAAAAATTTTTTTGACCAGAAAAATTATAAATAAAATTAAAAAAGTAAAATTACTTATTAATTTTACTTTTTTATAATTGAATTT